CCCCCACCCCGCCCCAGCAATGGACCTTGTGGCTCTCTACTTCTCAATGGCTCCGAAACACCGAGGCATGTTGGCAGTATTTCCCAGCCCGCTTCTGAATGCCCCTTCACCTGGCTTCTAGGAACCCCTTGGGTGCGTTCACAATGTCTAGGGTGATGTTCTTCCCAAATGGCATCTGAAAAACACACCACGTTCTGGGCAATGGTGTGAATGGAGGGCGACACCCTTTCCTTTCTCACTCCCCACAGCACCTGCCGCAAACACAGTCTTCTCATTCAGACGTCTCCTTGACGTCTCCTCCTGGCTCCGCAAGGCAAGTGTAGCCATCTTCCGGGGCTGACACTCAGCCCAGGAAGGGTCACCAAGCCTCCAGGGGTGTATACCCGCTGTCCCTCCAAGCAGCAGGGGCCGCGAGACTTCTGTTACCGAAAAGGAAGAGGAATCGTAAAGCTGTTGGCCAGATTGTGGCCAGAATCTGCCCTCATTCCTCACCAAGGGCTGAGGATGAACAGAAAAGGAAAGAACAAAAGCTTGCTGCAATTTTCCTCTCATTGGCTTTACTTATTGTCAGCCGCCAAGGGGGCAGTTAAGCCGAAACAGCCCGAGTCTTTATGCAGCCATGGGTTGCTTGATGAACACAATGACTTCGGGATGTAACTAGTCTTTGCCCAGCACCAGAAGGCGTAGGTTGCTGCTTGGAGGCGGCAGGGGTGGAGGTGGGGGTCATCATTGAGGGGCCAGCCCTCCCCTCTGGATGTCCCTTTTTGCCAGGCTTATCTATGCTCGGTCTCCTTCCTCCCCTGATGAATCTGTAATGGGCGCTTAACCCCAGTGCTTCGCCCGTAATTGTCCTTGGATGCTCTTATAACTCCCCTCGCAGGCCATCCATCACCTGCAAATAACCGGCCCCGGGTCCCAGGACTGCTTCAAACTCATGAAGCAGATGGAGTTAAAGTGTGTGTGTGTGTGTGTGTGTGTGTGTAAGCTATGGGGGTGTGGAAGGGGGACATATCTGATTCATAAGTGTTTATACCCAAACCCAAGACTTGCTCACAGTTTGCTTAGTGCTTAGCTTGGAGCACTAAGTCCAGATTTGTCACAAGTCGTCAGGGATTGGGGGAAGGGGGAGGGGCCGGGTAGAGGAGAAGCAGCCCCCACTGGCACTGCACGATGGCCCTAGCAGCGCAGCGCCCCCTTGTCACCCCCCCCCCAGGCATCGCAGGGAACAGAAAGGAGCAGAATGACTAGTGTCCCCACGCCCAGGCTTGAGAGCAAGCAGTTAGCTGTGGGAAGGCTGAGGGTGGGGGGGCAGGTGGGGAGCCGAGATACTTAACAGGGACCATAAAAACGCTCACATCCAGTGGCTGAAGAAGCTCACACCTGGGAAATTGCTCTTAGGAAGTAATTCAGGGAAAGGAATAAAGGCCTAGCACCTGAGCTGTTGTGAAGGGGTGGGGGGAGCAGAGGCATGGATTAGGGGGTCCCAGGGTGAGGGACCCCATCTGCAGGGATGCTCTCTGTACTCATGGGCTCTAGAGCAGAGACGGTGTGGCTAAAGAGGCAGGTGTCTGCGGTGGAGGGTGAAGAGCGCTGACCGCCAGCTGACGCAGGTGAAGTGTGCACCTGAAGAGCCCGCGGGCCCTTTCGGTCTTTCTCCACCGAAACCCATGGCCAAGGAGTCGCTTCTGACTCTTGTGGCGCTAGAGCACCGAGAACTGCCCAGTGGTGTTTCCAGGGCTGTCCGTCTGAGCAGGAGCAGCCTGCCACAGCCTGTGGGGGGTTGGTGGGATCCCACGACTGGCTCTTTTCAGTTAGCAGCTGAACACTGTAATTGCAGCACCACCTGGAAGTTGCTTTTCTGGGCTTCTCCTCCCTCAGTCACTTTCATCTTAATCATCTAGTTTAAATGAGGAATCGTTTTTCTTTTGCAATGGGCTTATCTGAGTGGGGTGGCCACTACAGATTTTCATCCAGTTATTTCTGGGTACTTGGTAGGTTTTACTTCCGGCCTCACTAACGATGGGGTGGGATGTGGGACTAGTGCAGGCCAAGGAGAGCTGTACGGTGGCAAGGTGCAGGGCGGAGCATTTTGAGTGCTGGGGCAAGATACCCCCGGGGCTCCTGTATCAAGGGGGCAGCTGGTCCACAGTGCCTGGTTTTTGAGCGACTCGGAGGCCCCAC